CTAATAATACTTCTTTATTCTAAAATTAGTGATTTCGAGTTTGAATTCGAAATAATTGTTTTGTTTTTTTGATAAGGTAAATTGTATTAATCAAAAGGGAGAAAAAACTCTCGTATACAAGAAGTATACCAAAAAGTAGATAATTTACATCAAAACATGATTCTCTATAAAAGACGCCCAATCTTATATACAAGTAGGGGCTATATGAGTGCACCAAAAAGCGATCAAAGATAAAAGACTATTCTTAAGATGTGAAAAAGGAGACTCAATCCCCTCAAAAGCTCTCCTATTTCTCTCCCCCCAAACTATCCACATGAGAGCTAACGGGGCGAACTTCCACGCCTTTTGCTTTCTTCTTCTACGGAAACCGGCCCAGCTTTATAACATTTCCTTTACAGTGCTTGGCATCACCCATTGAACACCAAAAAGATTCAGGATTGCCCTCCACAAACCCCGAGGACACAGGGCAATGCAACAAAAGATGATCAACTTCTTCCCCTAAGCTTTTACACATGTAGCACCAACTAACAAGTGTAATTCCTCTCTTTCGCAGATTTTCAGCAGTCAAGATCACTCCCCTCGCTGCTAGCCATGCAAAAACGCACACCTTTGTGGGCGCCTTAGGAATCCAGATCGAGGAGTATGGAAAAGTGGCGTCCTCTCTCACCAACATACTTTGGTAAAAGGACTTTACGGTGAACAAACCATCGCCACGCAACCCCCATCTCCAAGAATCACAAGATGGCTGGGGCCTGTCTTGCCCATATAGCAGTGCCAACAAATCTTGGAGCTCTGCAATCTCCTAATCTTGCATGTTCCTTCTAAATGAGAGGTCCCATACTAACCCCCCCCCCCCCCTTCATGCTCCTTGCGAATCTGTTGGACTATCAATTCCTTCTAATTTGAAACTCTAAAGACGTGGGGGAAGAGACCCTCAGAGTATCCTCTCTACACCATATGTGATTTCAAAAGCTGATTCTCCTTCCATCTCCCGCCCTATAAGTGATGTTGCCATTGAAGGCTTCCCAATTCTTCATGATGCTTCTCCACATGCCACACCCGAAAGGTGCTGTGATTGCCTTGGTCCTCCAACCCCCTCCCGTGGAATCGTACTTTTTCTACTATGACCTCCCTCCAGAGAGCATGCTCCTCTACCCCGAATCTCCACAGCCACTTCCCCAACAAAGCTCTGTTGAATACCCTAAGATCTTTTCCTCCAAGTCCACCCCACTTCTTTGAGGAAGTGACTGTCTGCCAATTCACTAGATGAAACTTTCTAGTTCCATCCGCCGCATCCCAAAGAAAATTCCTTTGAAGCCACTCCAGTTTTTCAGTGATGCTGACAGGAGTTTGCAACAGGGACAAGTAATAGGTGGGCATACTCGATAAATTGCTTTTAATAAGTACTTCCTTACCGCCTTTTGACAAGTAACGTTTCTGCTAGCCTGCTAATCTCGAAATAATTTATTTGGACCTCAATAGAAATATAAAAAATATATAGGAAAAACTGTTTATTAAGGACTCTAAGACTCTCAATGAGGACACAAAAGAAAGGACTCGAAGACTCTTGAAGTTACTCCTTTCCTCACCTAGATATGAAGTTACTCATTTCCTCACCCAGATATGAGAACATTCTTTGACGATAAAAGTCAATTGTCTTAGCAACTTCTTATGAGACTATTAGCTATAACATAGGAGAAAAGCATGCATAATTTGTTAATTCATCTCTGAACTCTTTTATACATCTATGAATTAATGATATAGTTTGTCTAGGCAGCATTTTGTGGCTATGGGCCAGAAGAATAATTGGATTTTGTTGAAAATTTGCTCTGTTAAGTTTCATAGGAGTCTCATAGGTGACTCCCGTGTAACTCATGCAGGCTTTGCTAGAAATATGCACAATCGAAGAAAAGATCCATATAGCAATGCCAATTAATCTGAATTAAGTTAAAAAAGAAGAATACTTACTTTAAAGCAGTAAAGCGGGAGCTTAGTGCACCGGGTTGTCTTTTTTTTTTTTTTAGTTTAAAGCAGATGCTCGCTAGGAGTCTTTTTTTCTTCTTAGAGTATTTATGTGTCAATAGCAAATTTGGAAAGTCTAAATTAATTGAGACATGTCTAAATGGAGCGAGGATTTGCACAGTGACCCCGGGATAGGGTAAGACTGCGTACATCCTACCCTCCCTAGATCCCACTTGTGGGAATTAACTGGGTGATTGTTGTTGTTTTTGTATAGCCGACCCCAACTAGCTTGAGATTGAAGCATAGTTATGTAGGGAATAGGGATATTATCAAAATTCTGATTGATTGTAGATTCGTGAAAAGATAATAATTTCTTTGATAATGGGGTGCTCAAGGCATGCTCAAGGCATTGTGCTCTAACATCTACTTTTCTACTAATGAGTCACCAAATCATTTAAATACAGGTAAAGATAATGGAGTTTGCATTTCACCTGGTGGTCGCTTTCCTCGATTTTCAAATGAAGGAAAACCTCCAAGAAAAGTAAAAAAGGGCCCAAGAGATTTGAACCTCTGCAGGATATTTCGTGGAAAAACTTGCTGCGATGTGACGCAGACGCATCCTGCTTTGCTATCCATTAGGAGGCTTGCTTCAACTGGAGAGGCAAGCCAAGAGTGCTTGCACTTATGGGAAATGTTAGAATGTTCAATCTGCGATCCACGTGTTGGTGTGCAGGCGGGACCCCCTGTTTTATGCACCTCTTTCTGTAACAAAGTATACCAAGCTTGCTCCAATGCGTACTTCTCCATGGATGCTAAGACACAGGTTTGTTTACAGATTTTTCAGATGAGTTATTCAGCAATGGGGTATCAAAATTCACCAAACAATAAGCCTGCATTGGATGTTATGATTTGTATTTTGGATCGTATAGACTGTGTCTCAATGTAGATGCTTTTGGCCCCTTTGGTTCAGCTCAATGCCAACACCCTCAATTATTTTATCATCATGTTTGTACTGAATCAGTTATTGACATATCTCACATCTGATTAGAAATTACATGTCAGGTTCTAGCACCCTGTGGTGTAAACGACTTTGTTTGTGGTAGAGCATCCCAATGGATCTCTAATGGGACAGAGCTCTGCCGCGTTGCAGGTTTTTCCGTGAAGTCTTTGTCTGATGATCCAGAAGAAGTTTCTTGCTATGGTGGAAAATCTAGTGTGGATTTTATTGCTGATTCATGGAGGGCTTCACAATCCAAGGTGCAAGAAAAAACGGACAGTTCTGGATTCGTTGAAGATTTCAAACAATGGGTGGAGGACATGACATTTAAAGAGAGAATATCTTGGGCAGTAGGAGGCATGGTTCTTACAGCAGGACTTCTATTTACCAGGTGAGGCCACTCTTTTTTAGTAATTATAAAATAAAGAGAATCTTATTTGAAGCTTCATGAACTCTCTCTGGTGTGGCATGTAGTCTTAGAATGTTAGTTGTTACTTTCCAAGTTCCAGCTGTACAATCATGTGGAATGATTCTTAGTCCATTAGAGTGATCAATGTATTTAGAAGTTTGATAATGTCTGCATGCTTAATGATATCATACTTTATCACTGTAAATTTACTTTTACTATGCAGTCAAAGGAAAAGCCATAGGCAACGCCAGAAACTAGCAGCCCTCCAACGCACGGCCAGGAGATTGGGAGGAAATGTGAATCCGAGATCTCCTACAAGTCAAGGGAGCGAAAAGGGTAGTTAAAGATGAATATCTTTCATCTTGCTACAGTGTTCCCAGACAAAGTTAGCGATGGCCAATGAGTACAGGTTTACTTGTTATTGCACTTCAAGTGTAAACCAGCGAAGAAAGTTTTTGTGCAACTCTCTTTTTCAGTTTATACAACATATTTTACTTTTAAATTCGTTTTAAATAGAATGACAACAACAACAAGCCCAGTATATTCCCACAAGTGGGGTCTGGAGAGGGTAGTGTGTGCGCAGACCTTACCCCTACCTAGTGAAATTTAAATAGAATGGCACACTTTTAAATTAGAAACAATAAACTTTACACTTTTATTTTATCACATAAATATTATCTCATGTATAATACCATGAACTTTACAAAATTTATAGCTACACAAATGTTATAACATGTTTAAGATTACAAATTTTAATTTTTTCTTAAAGTCCTTCAAAATAAAATATCATCGCAATCATTGGAGTTTGGAAAATATCTTTCTACGCCTAAGAGACCAGGAAACAAAACAAAGAAAATGACAGCAATAATGTAACTTTTGGTGCCTGAATTTTTATCAATTCAGGGGCTCATGAAATAAAAATAATAATTTAGATCCAAAAAGGGATTCTTTCCTTCTCTTACTGATTAGGTTTTTCTTTCCTCGTCTCCTTGTGGAGCTGAACTTGTAACTATTTAACATGCAACTTCAGTCTCTTGACATTTGCTAGGCTTGTACTACACCTAATTTGCAAGCACTGATCGACCAAACTCAAATTTAAATGACTGGAAAGAGGAGACGTCTTGTCTATGATGCTCCATTGGGTCATGAACTGCATATTAAGTGTTCCTTTCACTTAACCCATCAACATAATTGGGTGAGCTAAAGTTTGCTGATGGCTCTACTACTACCATTGTTGAGAGTACTATGAAAAAGTAGTTTAAATCAAAATTTCACTGATTGTAGCTAGTGACTGCCCGGATTGGTAGTTGTTCCAGACGCAACTACCATGGTTTAACTGGAAAGCTAGGACTGGCGAACAAGTTAACAGTGAATAATTCTTTAGTAGATATGTATTGCAAAGTTGGGTACTTTGCTGATGTCCCAATTCTGTTTGAAAAAAATGAGAGCAAAAATGTGGTCTCTTGGAATTCCATTTTCGGGGGTTATTCAGGAGAAGGAGATGTTAGAGGAACATTTCATCTTATGAGAAGGATGCAAAGTGCCAGTGAATATGTGAAGGCAAATGAGGTCACTCTGTTGAATGTTTTGCCTGTGTGCTTAACAGAATCAAAGCAGTAGATAGTGAAAGAAATGCATGGCCACTCGCTTAGAAATGGTATTGAATACCATGAGTCGTTAACAAATGCTTTTATAGCAGCCTATGCAAAGTGTGGATTGCTCAGATATGCTGAGCTTGTATTCTGTGGAGTGGCGAATAAGACAATAAGCTCTTGGAATGCACTGATAAGTGGCTATGCTCAGAGCGAGGATCCATCCAAGGCTTTGACTCTGTCCTCTGAAATGATGGGTTCTGGTTTGCTTCCTGACTGGTTCACTGTTGGTAGCCTTCTTTTTGCTTGTTCACACTGTGTGGTACACAAATTCATGGTTTTGTGCTTAGAAATGGTCTAGAAACAGATATGTCTACAGGGGTTTCCCTAGTTTCATTTTACATGAATTGTGGAAAACCTGAACTGGCACAACATCTATTTGACGGGATAGAAGATAAAAATGTCGTATCCTGGAACGTGATGATAGCTGGCTATTTCAGAATGTTTTACCAGATAAAGACTTATGTCTGTTTCGTGATATGGTATCTCGTAGATTCCAACCTGAAGAAATTTCTGTTATAAGTGTATTGGGAGCTTGTTCAGCATTGTCTGCTGTCAGGCTGGGGAAAGAAGTTGATAGCTTTGCACTGAAAACTCACCTTATGGAGGATACTTTTGTCCATTGCTCAATCATAAACATGTATGCAAAATCTGGATTTATGGAATGTCCAGGTATGTTTTTGACCATATTCCGCTCAAAGATATAGCATCATGGACAGCTATGATTACAGGATATGCAGTTCATAGACTTGGAATGGAGGCCATCAAGCTATTTCAGGAAATGCAAAAATCGGGCTTCGCACTACATATGTCTCTATTTTAATGGCATGTAACCATGCCGGGCTCATTGAAGGTCGACAATATGTTAGGGAGATGCAGGTCCATGGTCTAAAACCTGAATTGGAACATTATTCATGTGTAATTGACATGCTGAATCGTGCTGGACAGTTTGATGATGCCTTAAATCTTATGGCTGAGATGCCTATGCAGCCAGACACTCAAATTTGGAGCTCGTTGCTCAGTTCATGTATGGTTCATGTCCAATTAAATCTTGGGAAGAAATGTGCTGAGAAGTTGCTGGAATTAGAGCCAAAAAGAGCAGAAATATATGTTTTGGTGTCCAACTTTTTTGCTAGATATGGGGACTGGGATTCTGTTAGACAATTGAGGCAAAGATGAAGGAGTTAGGCTTGCAAAAAAAGAAATTGGTTGCAGTCCGATTGAAATAGGAGGAAAAAGCTATAACTTCGCTGTTGCCGATATGCTTTCCAAGCCGTAAGAGCTATTGTGAGGATAGATGTAACTAAAGGGAACAAGTTGAGTTGGTTAGTACCTGAGAAGATTTGGTGCTTCAGCAATTGAAGAGAGAGGGTTAAGAGTAAATTGAGGTAGCTCAGCAAGAAACTCATTAGGGTTCTATTTCCTAGTACCATGACCAAAAGGAACTCTTGCCTCCATCATCTAGCACACGACAAGGAAGGACAAGTTAGATGAATACTATTGCATGACGTAATGGCCTCTCCCTCTTATGAAAGCTATTATCTCGCATATTTCCCTAGAGGAATATGCCTCATTCTACCCTCCCCAGACCCCACTAGTAGGATTATACTGGGTTGTTGTTGTTGTTGTATTTCCCTAGAGGAATAGTAGCGTTGTTTCTCTATGGGCACATGGCAGGATTCTAAAACACAGTTGTCCCTTGACTCAGGTTCTTCTTGTTGATGACTCAAGGTTTCTAAAGGATAGCACTTCACAAATTACCACAATGTGCTTTAAGTTAGTGCCAACAATGATTTTAAGGGAGATAGTCAGAATGATTGAAGAAGAGGCACTCTCACCATTTTAAAAATGGTTTCTCCTGATAGCTGATAAAAGGATGGAGTCACTTTGACTTGCCTTAGTGCCTCCCTAAATGTTCAGATGTACATATAAGGCAGAATCATATTCCTTATTCTGTAGTTTGGCTTCTGTTTTAATACCAAATGGTGTTTGCTAGCAAGAACGACTCACTCCTTGAAGATGTTTTACTGTTCAGAGAGTCACTTGAGGAGCAGTGTGGCAGAAGATGTTTTGAAACTTAAGTTTAGCTTGGAATTTCAGTTCTTAGAAAGGATGAGCGACACGAGGCTGGAATTCCAAGGATCAAATCTGTGGTAGTCTAAGAAAATTTGCCCCCGACCTTGTACAATTTTGTCGTTGAGAGAGGAATCATTTATTGGCTTTAGGTGCTTGGTTATCGCATGCTGGAACCCCCTTGGTGCTTCTCAGCATTGTATATTGTTGTATATAAAACTTCTTTTTTGCTGAGTGTAAAGAGAAGTTGGAAGAGTGGAAGTACATATGGAGGGATAAGGGTTGTTTTTAGTTAGGGAATACAAAGGATGTAGGATGTGTAGTAGAAGAGTTGGATACTTCTTCATGCCGACTTTCAATCTTTCTAAAACTAGTCTTAGACAGTGTTGTTAAAAGCAACCGCTTCCTCGCTTAACGCGAGAAGCGTGCGAAGCGAGGCATCTGGCGCTTCTCTGATCTGAATCGTATCAGGTACACAAAAGCGATCGCGTCCCTTGAAAAAGCGAGAAGTGAGGAAGCGAACAAAACGACAGAAGCGAGCGCTTCTCTTATAATTGGGCTGTCAACGTTAATTAATTAAAAAGGCTATCTTTTTTTAACTTCAAGAACATCAAGTCTGGTCCCAGGTGTATGTGATTTCCTCCTCCTCCTCCTCCTACTTCTTTCACTGTTTCAGTGTCCAAATAGCAGCAAAATGCTAGGCGAATTTACCCCCCCCTACCCCCCCCCCCCTTCTGTTCTTCTTTTTCTCATGCTCCTCTTCTTTTTCATTTTCTTTCACTGTTTCAGTGATAAATTGCTGCAAAATGTTGCCCCATTTTTCGTTTCAGTTATACTGCCATTTTTTGGCATACTAACTGTTTCATATCATTTATTCTTAGTTGCCTATGTAATATTTATTTTATTGTCGTTCTCTTCTTCTTCTTCATTGTCTATGCGGTATTTATTTTAATATTTTTTTAAAAAAATTCCGCTTCACTTTAAAATAGTGAGCGCTTCGCTTCTCGCTTTAAGCGAAAAGGGGCTTGTCGGTTTTTCCCGCTTCATGCTCTTCACAACACTTGTCTTAGAGAATGAATTGTAGTATTAGTTTTACTCTTCTTCCAACCATACCAAATAACTAGAAAATCTTTAGTATTTCAGCTAAGTGAAATATCCAACAGTATTCTCCGTCCATTTGACATGAATGGAAGGAGTGAAGGTATAACTTGTCAACTAGTTCGACTAGTGAAAATGTGCAAACCAAACCACATGCTCAAATTTCGCAAATAAGTTGTCTATTAGTCTTGATTCTTCAAGGTTGTACGAGTTGTAGTGTGTAGTTGAAAAACCTCCCGTCCCGAATTGACTTAAAACATGTGTTTACTAAAGAATTCTCTCCATCTTGTAAGGGTCTATCAACGTTTATTGCTACTAGCAGCAGCCTGAAGTAATTCAAATCTCATTTCTATTTGATTCAATCTCCTGTCCACTAACTACAAGACTTTAACCTAACACACAAATTAGTCTGACGGTCATTTATATGACTACACAATAAATAATACTTTAACAGTAGTTTGGTTGCCGTTTATCACTTATATTGACTGGTAACAGATTGACTATTTGAACTTAAACATAACTAATGTGTTTTAGCTAAGTTAATTTGTTATTAATGAGGTTAAATTATACTTCAAGTAGAAACAAAAAGAACAAGACCCAGATCTATAGACTAACTGAAATTCTATGCAACATTTCTTTTGTGCCCTTGAAAGTCCAAGCAACAGTTCTTCGTCACTTACGCTAGCCAAAGCTATAGCCTTTGGGTACTTGTCGGTACAACAACAACCCAGTAGGATCCCACTACTGGGGTCTGGGGAGGGTAAAGTATACGCAGACCTTACCCCTACCCCAGAGGGATAGAGAGGCTGTTTCCGGGAGACCCTCGGCTCAGAGACCCTTTGGGTACTATCAACGTTTATTGCTACTAGCAGCAGCCTGAAGTAATTCAAATCTCATTTCTATTTGATTCAATCTCCTGTCCACTAACTACAAGACTTAGGTGATCCGGTTCCGGCTCCGTCCCACGGCGTCGGGCCTGGGCCATGGCAGGCGAAAATACAAGCACGACTAGCGGAATTCCAGTTTAATTGCCGTAAAATGCCAAAAAATGTAATTTCGTCAAGGCGGGGTGGTGACTATGGTTCTTTAGGTCGTATTTGATGTCCCGGACAAATACTAGGCGATTCAGTTCCGGCTCCGTCCCACGGCGTCGGGCTTGGGCCATGGCAGGCGAAAATACACGCACGACTGGCGGAATTCCTGTTTAATTACCGTAAAATGCCAAAAAAAGAAATTTGGTCATGGCGGGGCGGTGACTATGGTTCCTTAGGTCGTATTTGATGTCCCGGACAAATATTAGGCGATCCGGTTCCGGCTCGGTCCTATGACGTCGGGCTTGGGCCATGGCAGGCGAAAATACAAGCACGACTGGCGGAATTCCAGTTTAATTGCCGTACAATGCCATAAAATATAATTTGGTCATTGCGGGGCTGTGACTATGGTTCCTTAGGTCGTATTTGATGTCCCGAACAAATATTAGGCGATCCGGTTCCAGATCCATCCCACTGCGTCGGGCTGGGGCCATGGCATGCGAAAATACTGGCACGATTGGCGGAATTCCATTTTAATTGCCGTAAAATGCCAAAAAATATAATTTGGTCATGGCAGGGCGGTGACTATGGTTCCTTAGGTCGTATTTGATATCCCGGACAAATATTAAGCGATCCGTTTCCGGCTCCGTCCCACGGCGTCGGGCTTGGGCCATGGCAGGCGAAAATATAGGCACGACTGACGGAATTCCTGTTTAATTTCCGTAGAATGCCAAAAAATATAATTTTGTCATGGTGGGGCGGTGACTATGGTTACTTAGGCCGTATTTGATGTCCCGGATAAATACTAGGCGATCCGGTTCCGGCTCTAACCCGCGGCGTCGGGTTTGGGGCATGACGGGCGAAAATACAGGCACGACTTGCGAAACGTAAAATGCCAAAAAATATAATTTGGTCATGGCGGGGCGGTGATTATGGTTTTTTGGTCGTATTTGATTTACCGGACAAATATTAGGTGATCTGGTTCTGGCTCCATCCCACGGCGTCCGGCTTGGGCCATGGCAGGTGAAAATACAGGCATGACTGGCGGAATTCCAGTTTAATTGCCGTAAAATGCCAAAAAAATGTAATTTGGTCATGGCGTAGCGGTGACTATGGTTCCTTAGGTCGTATTTGATGTCCCTGACAAATATTAGGCGATCCAGTTCCGGCTCCGTCACACGGCGTCGGGCTTGGGCCATGGCAGGCGAAAATACAGGCACGACTGCCTGAATTCTAGTTTAATTGCCGTAAATGCCAAAAAATATAATTTGGTCATGGCAGGGCGGTGACTATGGTTCCTTAGGTCGCATTTGATGTCCCAGACAAATATTAGGCGATCCGGTTCTGGCTCCTTCCCACGGCGTCGGGCTTGGGCCATGGCAGGCGAAAATACATGCACGACTGGCGGAATTCTATTTTAATTACCGTAAAATGCCAAAAAATATAATTTGGTCATGGCGGGGCGATGACTATGGTTCCTTAAATCGTATTTGATGTCTTGGAAAAATATTAGGCGATTCGGTTCCGGCTGCGGCCCACGACGTCGGGCTTGGGCCATGGCACGACTGGCTGAATTCCAGTTTAATTGCCGTAAAATGCCAAAAAATGTAATTTTGTCATGGCGGGGCGGTGACTATGGTTCCTTAGGTTGTATTTGATGTCCCGGACAAATTCTAGGCGATCCGGTTCTGGCTCCGTCCCACGGCGTCAGGCTTGGGCCATGGCAGGCGAAAATATAGGCACGACTGGGTGAATTCCAGTTTAATTGCCGTAAAATGCCAAAAAATGTAATTTGGTCATGGCGGGGCGGTGACTATGGTTCCTTAGGTCGTATTTGATGTCCCGGACAAATATTAGGCGATCCGGTTCCGGATCCATACCACGACGTCGGGCTTGGGCCATGGCACAGGCACGACTGGCGGAATTCCATTTTAATTGTCGTAAAATGCCAAAAATATAATTTGGTCATGGCAGGAC